CCAGAAAGTGAAACAAATTCCACAATTTCCATTTGTCATCAGAACAAGACGTAAGGAGAAATCTTCTATTGGGACACCTGTTTTGGTTGTCCTCACTTTGGAAAGATTTCCTCCTACTTTCTGTTGAATCTCCAATACAGGAAGTGGCAGTAAATCTCCCCAATGGGACAGAGATAAAGAAAATCAACTGACCAGCTTTTTAACACGTCCTTACTCTATCTAAAACTAAATCAAATTGTTTGACTTATGTACACTTTAACCCTGCAGGAAATTGCTAGAGACAAAAGATGTTGTTTATTCCGGCTTTGTTTTTTCACTCAAATCATTTGTGTTTGTTGTATTTGCTAAATCACTGTACACACTTTCTAAATAAATACTTCAATAATATTTTAAAGGGTACTTTTTTTCCATTTGTAAATGTTTTGTTTTAAACTTAAAGTTTACAAAGTGGTGCTTTTTTTAATCATGTTTGACCATTGGCATAAAGTCTTTATTTTGCAAATAATCATTTAATATAGTCAATATCCATCTAAGACATTGACTTTGTAGAATATTCTAGACTTCCTAAATAGAAAGCCCAGCACTAACTGCTCACTTTTTAGTCTAACTTAAAATCTATGTGGGCCATATGTGCAGAGATAAAGAATTAGAAAAAATGTTTCCCTTGCAAGCGGAGAAAAATACCTGTTAAGTCTGGCAGAAATGCACCCCCCTCCTAATTTCCTGTTTTAGGCTGACAATGCATTACTGGACTGGAAATGCAAGAAATGGCATCAGCCCTGCCTTGTTTTGTACTACTGAACCACAGAACACCTCCCTCTTTCTTCATCTGCATGACATAGGGGAAGGTACTTTGTAGTCCAAGGAATGAACTGAGAGTGCTGATTAAAATGCTTGACATAATACTGTAGAGTGCACAGGACACAGAGCAGCTCTATATTTCTGTCAGGATAATCAGGTATTTTTTTGCACCTATTCAACAAATGTAACAAAACACATGGTATATATAACAATCCAAAATGGAGCAAATTAAAGAGATTGTTAGAGTTTACATAAACTTTAAAGCAAAGCAGTAAAGTTGGCCTGGCAGGAAAGGGGGATAAGCATTTTTTTTCCTGCTGGCTGCATGTGTTATATATTTATTTGTAATATAGTTTATACTTACCTGACTTAAAAACATGAAGAGGGTTTTAAAATGTTATTAAACATAATAAATAATATATGCAAAAATCATGCGGTCCCTTTAGTTGTCTGTTAACATTGTTCCTACTTTTGTAAAATCTCTGTATTTTTATTTTTGCTCACAAGGTGGCACCACAAGAGAGCAAACGTAGACTGTAGAGCTGCAGCTAACGATTATTTTCACAATCGATTAGTTAGCCGATAACGTTACCTTTAGGAGAACCATGGGGAAAAGCCCTAACCCCATAGTTCTCCTTTAAGGCCCCATTCATACCTGTTAGTTTAGCTGCGATTAGGGATTCCTGCTTCAGGGCCCTTTCACATGACGTCCGGTTTCTGTCCTGACCAGATCCGTGCGCTCCTGCACTAAAAATGTATCCCTATGTGTTTTATGGGCTAAAGTTCTTACGTGCGCAGTCCGTTCAGGTCCGGACAGAAAAAATACTGCATGTCACATTTTGTCTGGTCAGGATATGGTTCGGAAACGCAAAACGTGTCAAAAACGCACTGCACTGCACTGCAGCTAACATACTGACAGCCCCACTCCAGCCCAAAAAAATTAAAATTTTTGGGGGGCGTGGCGAGCTGCCGAGGAAGATGGCCGCAGTCTGACGGAGCTCCGCATCACCCGATCCCTAATGTAAATTTTTTTAAAAACTGGAGCGCGTCAAAAACGCATAGCACCGCATCTGCAGATCTGCTCCAGATCTGGTCTGGACATTGCGTGAACAAGGCCTCAGGAACTTGCATTTTCCTGCAGCAGGAATCCCTAATCTGCCATTTACAAGTGGCACCTGTCACCCATTCAAGTTAATGATCGGGTGACAGCCGCTGCATTTAAACACCAGCACACCGCATATAATCGTATGTGAAACTCACGATTGATGCGTCCAGGGATGATGATGGATTCCTAACCTTATGCAATCGTATCAAATATGATTACATGCAGTATGCCGGCATTTAAACGTAATCATCATTAACTTGAACAGGTGCCGCTTGTACATGGCAGATTAGGGATTCCTGCTGCAGTAAAACATACATTCCTGACGCAGGAATCCCTAATCACACCTAAATTTACAGGTGTGAATGGGTACTTATTTCACATGTATATTTTTCTCCCTGCAAGATTATTTAACTAGGCAGTTTGTTACAGCCCCTACTCTGCAAAAGCACTTGGCATAATGTAAACATATACTTGCACATTATGGCAGACCTACCCTAGTTTGTCCTCCTCAAGCTCTGACAGGTCCAGCCGCAGCAAAACAAAAGGTGTGCAAAGAAAAAAAAAGGAACTGTTAGGGCTCGTTCACACCATTAGCGATGGCTGGCGTTTTTAAGCTAATGCCAGTCACTGCCAGGGCATTTCGAAAACAATGGTTTTCTGTGTGCCCCATTAAACACTTTGCATACCGTGAGAAGATTATGAGAACCATCTATGTGTTCCATATACACTGAGTGGCCAGATTTTTATGACCACCTGACCTTTGTAGGCAAATTAGCTATAATTAGCTATAATTTTGCACTGAAGTTGCTAGAGGGCCAGACCATTATAAATAGGGAAGCAGGTTGTTTACCACGACAGTAGAAGTGATTTTTTTTCTGAAGATACGGGTAAACAACGCGATTTAACAGCCTTTGAACGTGGGATGATTGTTGACGCTCAAGCCATGGAAGGAATATCGGCAAAACAGCAGAATTCGTTAAATGTTCAAGAGCAGCTGTTGTTAAAGTGTTTAAAGACTGGACTGTCAGCCGAAAATCTGGGTCTGAACGTGCGAATTGTGGCCGTCAGCGACTAGTCAATGTTAGGGCATCTACATCTATAATAACATGAAACATATCGTGGAGTCACGAGGCGGCCCAACGAAGTCATCTCGTGGAGTCATCTCGTGGCCCAACGAAGTACTGATGGGGTGGTCATAATAATCTGGCCACTCAGTGTAGATGGTGACCTAGACAATACAATACAATACAATAAAGACAGTGATGCTTTGTACTGACACTACCTGCTGTTAGTATTATACATGAGAAATTGGATACAACCCCACTCTTCTGTTCAAAATTAATTCCAGGTCTATATCCTCATCCCAGTCAACCCTAAGCTCTGCTGGGAAGACCTGGAGAGCACTGAAATCATTCTAAAAATGTAATTTTAAAATTAACAATGTCAGGATCTCATATCAGCGTATCTGTCACCAAGTGGAAATTAGAACCTGGCAATGTTTTCACAGCTGCTGAAGTGATAAGGGATGTGGCCAAAGACCTTGATCCTGCCAATGGACTTTGCTTTTGCTCTTACACAATATAGTCCTGCAACCTTATATTTATTCCAATGCAATGCACCCTTCTGCTTGTACCTGGCAATTTCTGCTCTAATATTGGTATATTCATACTTATTAGCTGATGTCATTATCACATTGTGACTTTTAGGCGCATCTTGGAGTTACTCGGGCAGTACCAAGGTTATGACATCGATAGGAAGAATATAGGCGTGTTACATTAAATTTTAGAGTTACACTTTACTTCTTTTTAAATTACAATGAAAAAGGGGCCAACTATAACGATGAGCAAGACCGCTATAGACTAGAGATGAGGCTGGGCTTAGTGTGAACCCAGTTCACTTGAGTTTGCCCAAGCCACCTCTAAATTCTGTCCGCAACCCTCTTTGCTTGACCCAATCAGTTGCAGGGAGGTGCCCTGCAGCTTCACTTCGCAAAGGGGCGAGGAAGTGCCGGCACTGATTGAGTTAGGAGGAGGGGGTGGCGGTTAGAGGTTTGAGTGGGCTCGGGCAAACTTATGCAAACTGGGTTCACACTAAGCCCAGCCCCATCTCTACTATGGAGCTCTACCTGCAAAGTAATACGTTTTGAAGATCCACATCTGTTGGACTGCTTAATGCATATCCAAAAACAAGAATCATTAAATGTATTGTAGCTTAACAGTTCTTAGATGCAGCAGTTGCATTTTTTTAGCCTATTTTAGACTTGACTTACATTTGGAGACCAGTGACCTACTTCCTGTTCTAGGGTGACCACTCTCACTCATTGTATTGTCTATGGACTTATTTTATTTACAGAGCCGCAGCTGCCCTCCCCTGAGAGCCGCACATCCCCCCCACCCCCTGGGAATGCACAGCTCATCTGAGAACTGCACAATGCCCCTGAAAGCACACAGCGCCTCTGAGAGCCCACACAGCTCACCTGAGAGCCCACACAGCCATCCAGAGACTTTGGAGACATCAGTCTATCACCCCGCAGCAACAAAGTATGTAGCTTATATTATTCTGCATTTCTGTATAATGTATTGCTGGGATTTTCAGTCCTCTTTAGCTGATGGTATTATTCTGCATTGCTGTATAATGTATTGCTGGGATTTTCAGTCCTCTTTAGCTGATGGTATTATTCTGCATTGCTGTATAATGTATTGCTGGGATATGTAGTCCTCTATAGTTGGCAGTATTCTGTATTGTTATATAATATATTGCTGAGATTAGTTCCTTTACAGGTTGGAGTCAGTAGCAGAACTAACAAGGTCACAGTGGTCGCAGTTGTACTGGGCCCTGGTGCTCCACCATTGACTCCAAGCTGTAGAGAGACTGTTCCCTTGCAGTGTGCTGCGTGACATGTACCCTAGTAGCACACTGCAATGGAACACTTCACTGATTAGCACAGTACAAAGGTACATGTCACTCTGTAGTGTAGTTAAAACCTCTTGTATTGTATGTTTCTTCTAATATTTAAGCACATAATTAGTTCAGACAGTCATATGAAATGCTTTTCTAAAAGAAATCATCAGTATTCGGGTCTAAGTGCGGGGTTGGCACTTTAAGACACTTAAGTTGGTTTAGTGATCCAGTTTGGGCACTCGGGCTCAAAAAAGGTTTGCCATTGCTGCCCTAGTACATGACTAGAGAGCACCCCCCTTGCCTCATCTACATAACATAATGGGAAGGTGTTCTGTAGTCCACTGGATTGAACTTCCTAGGGCTGACAAGCAGAAAGCACAGGAAGTTACAAGCTCACTGTATTTCTTGTAGGATCAACAGGTATTATTTTTGACCTTGTTAACTGGCTCTGACAAATTACTGTGACAATAGTATATTAAACAGACCAAAAGGCAGCAAATGAGAGAAGTTGATTGTTAGGCTAGACATTACACTTAACAACCAACTTAACAACCAGAAAACATTACATTTAGGGGGTATATGCGATAAAATGGGTGCATGTGAGATTCAGAAAAAACAGCACTATTACTGTTAACCTATTATTATTGCAGTTTTTACTTTACAATCCTTTTTGAAAGATACTGTAACATTTCAAAGTAGTATTACACCTTCAAAGTTTGTTCAATAATGAATCCAGATCAATCGAATATACATTTCCTTGAAAAGTATTATTTTACATTTTTGCCCAAACACTTTCAGTCATCATATTTCCAAAAAGCTTCAATTCTCTAAGCTCCCCTTCCCTGAACTTCCTGTCTAGTACAAGATCACAAAGGGCCGAGCAGTCTCCAGCAGCTGTCCATCTACTTGCTTGGAGCTGGGACGAAGGGGGAGCAGGAGCAATGTCTTGCCTTGTTGTGCATGTGTGTTTGTGGAGACACACACAGCTTACTAGCAGACACAAGGGTGACTCTAATAGGACCCTGCAAGGGAAATGAACCACCCTAAAACAGGATATCGGGGCAGTGCACAGGGACCAGCTGATGTTTAAAACTAAAACTTTTAAACATCAAGAAGCAGCATCCAATGTAAGTGATTTCATCTGCATTTGAAATAGCTTAAAAACCTTTTGACTTTAATCTCACTTTAAATAGTTAACTCTTCTGTATATTTGTTACTATAGTGAATATAGAGATGAAGAGATTATACACTAGTGGGTGCTCTAAACAGCAAGGATGGGTAAAAACTCCACTGCTGGCAATTGTATTCTGGTACCCACAGCTGCCTGAATACCCAAATAGTGACTGCATCTGGTTAGATGCTGTCACTGTCCAGCCCATAATTTTCAACCTGGCTCAATTAATTTCTGAATCAAATTTTGTTGAGCAAGGTGATGCTTGCAAGGCCATCCATGGCTTGAATTTTGGCTGATTCAAAAGGAATCTGAGCCATCTATGGCCAACAATATACTGCAAGAAAGTGCATGCATGCTATAGAAGTAGGTAAATAGGGGCTTATCAAATGAGCTGCGGCCATTGCACAATATTGTACAATGCATGTCACAACCTTCCCTTACATTGACCCCTGATGAAGCCAGAACTCTGGCAAAACATGTTGGGAGTGGATATCTTGCACTAAAACACAAATGTCTATGGCTTACAATCTAAAAGAGGAGGGGGAAATGATACATGAGGTAGCTGTGGTAGCTGTGGGAATGAATTATGTGAGAATGTGAAGGTTCAGTGGTTAGGTTGAGGTGGGATAGGCTTCCCTGAAGAGATGAGTCTTTAGGGAACGCCTAAAGGCAGTCAAGGTGGGAGATAGACGGACAGGTTGGGGTAAGGAGTTCCAGAGGATGGGAGAGACTCTAGAGAAGTCCTGGAGGCGAGTATGGGAGGAGTGGACAAGGGAGCTGGAAAGCAGGAGGTCAATGGATGAGCGGAGGGGACGTTTAGGGTGATATTTTGAGACAAGGTCTGAGATATATCCGGGGGCAGAGTTGTGTATGGCTTTGTAACTGATTCTTAATATTTTGAATTTTATCCTCTGGGCGAGTGGAAGCCAGTGGAGGGATTGGCAGAGGGGGGATGCAGACACTGAGCGGTTGGTAAGGTGAATGAGTCTGGCAGCTGCATTCATGATAGACTGAAGGGGGGATAACGTATAGAATTGAAATAGAATGTTATAATCTGATGTAGCTATGCTTTAGATAAGGGGTAGGCAACCTTGGCTCTCCAGCTGTTGTGGAACTACAATTCCAATGAGGCATGAGGTGAGATACATGAAGTGCTCTGGACTGATGCGTCAAAATGTGAAATATTTGGCTGTAGGAGGAGGCAGTTTGTTCGCCAAAGGGCTGCAGAGCGGCACAATAATGAGTGTCTGCAGGCAACCGTGAAGCATGGTGAAGGTTCCTTGCAAGTCTGGGGCTCCAATTCTGCCAATGGAGTTGGAGATTTGGTCAGGATCAATGGTGTCCTCAATGCTGAAAAATACCAGCAGATACTTATCCATTATGCCATACCATCAGGGAGGCATGTGATTGACCCCAAATTTATTCTGCAGCAGGACAATGATCCCAAACATACAGCCAATGTCATTTAAGAATTATCTTCAGCGTAAAGAAGAACAAGGAGCCCTGTATGTGATGGTTTGGCCCTTACAGAGCCCTGATCTCAACATCATCGATTCTGTCTAGGGAATACATGAAGAGACAGAAGGATTTGAGGCAGCCGACATCCACAGAAGATCTGTGGTTAGTTCTCCAAGATGTGTGGAACAACCTACCTGCCGAGTTCCTTCAAAAACTGTGTGAAGTGTACCTAGAAGAATTGATGCTGTTTTGAAGGCAAAGGGTGGTCACGCCAAATATTGATTTGATTTGTATTTCTCTTCTGTTTATTTAATTTCCAGTTTGTTGATTGATAAAAATAAACTATTAACCCTTTTATTTTTTAAAGCATTCTTACTTTGCAGCATTTTTTCACACCTGTACCTATATATATATATATATACACACACATACACAGTGTGTGCACAATCATTAGGCAAGTGAGTATTTTGACCAATTCTCCATTGTTATGCATATTGTTCAAATCCAAACTGTATAAACTTGAAGGCTCTTTGGATTTAAGCATATCAGGTGATGTGTATTTGTATAATGAGGGAGGGTGTGGCCTAAGGAGATCAAAACCCTATATCAAGGTGTGCATAATAATTAGGCAGCTTCTTTTCTTCAGGCAACATGGGCCAAAAAAGTGATTTAGCTGACTCTGAAAAGTCAAAAATTGCAAAAAAAAGTATTTCAGAGGGATGCAGCACTCTTGAAATTGCTAATATATTGGCACATGATCACAGAAACATCAAACTTTTTGTTGCAAATATTCAACAGGTTCGCAAGAAACTTGAGAAAGAAAGAAGCAAATTAACTGCCAAAGATTTGAGAATAATCAAATGTGAAGCTACCAGGAACCCATTATCCTCCAGTGCTGTCATATTCCAGAACTGCAACCTTACCTGGAGTGCCCAGAAGTACAAGGTGTTCAGTGCTCAGAGACATGGCCAAGGAAATGAAGACTGAAACCCGACCACCATTGAACAAGACACATAAGTTGAAACGTCAAGACTGGGCAAATAAATATCTGAAGACAGATTTTTTTAAAGGTTTTATGGACTGATGAGATGAGAGTGACTTTTGACTGACCAGATGGATGGGCCCGTGGCTGGATCGGTAACGGGCACAGAGCTCCACTTCGACTCCGACGCCAGAAAGGTGGAGGTGGAGGACTCGTATGGGCTAGTATTATTAAAGATGCGCTAGTTCAGGGGTGACTACGTTACAATGTGTGACCGGTGATGTGGTCACACATTTCATTGTAATCCCACCCAGTTTTTTGGCGGTGGAATGTGTGACTGCCAATAGGTCAAATCATTCCAATGCTTTCTCAGCTGTTCCAGGGCAGATCGGCATCGCAAATCGCATGTGCAGGAGAACTGATCTGTGCTGGAACAGCTGTTCCAGGGCAGATCAAAATCCTGCACCAAAAAACTGGGCGGGATTACATTGAAATGTGTGACCACGTCACCGGTCACACATTCCAACCTAGTCACAAACTTTGATAGAACAGCGGCCCTGTCTAATCATTTAATCAGAGAAATAGATTATAATAGGCAACATTACAGTGTAACGTTCCCCATTATAATCCACATTTCTAATTAAATGAAATAACAGCACACAGTGTGCTGTTACACCCGTACTGAGGCCCTGGCGATAGTTCCGCCCCTGGACAGGGAGCCGCAGCAGAGGGATGAAAGAGCCACATGCGGCTCCAGAGCCTGCAACACAAAAAACGTTGGACTCTGCAATGCAATAAACTCTGGACTCTGCACTGCAATGGACTTAGGACTCTGCAACATAAGAGGGTCCTATGTCATTGCGTTGCAGGGTCTTAAGTCCATTGTGTTGCAGGGTCTTAAGTCCATTGCGTTGCAGTCTCCTAAGTCCATTGTGTTGCAAGCCCCTAAGTCCATTGCGTTGCGGGGTCCTGAGTTTACTGCGTTGCGGGGTCATGAGTTTACTGCGTTACAGGCTCCTGAATCCATTGCATTGTAGAGTCCTAAGTGCATTTCGTTGCTGAGTCCTGAGTTTATTGCGTTGCAGAATCTTGAGTCCATTGCGCTATTGCATTGTTATGTGTTTTTATTTTTTAGTTTCTTTTCAGGGGAAGGCGATGTAGGTGGATATGGGGGTCTGGGTCGGGAAGTGATGGAGCTGGGAAGGTTGTGGGGGCCCATCAGTAAAATCTTGCCCAGAGCCCAATTAATATTAAAGACAGCCCTGCACACCAGCGTGTATGTTCAAACATTTAGTGTGTTTTCTGTGTGCCGGCAGTGCCTTGTGCTGTTTACCTCTTTTCTTTCTTTTTTTTTTTAAACTTTAATAAAATGTCAGTTGAAATAACTGTCACTGATGTGAGATGAGGTGTGCTGTGGTAAAATGCTAAGTCACCGCAGACAGTGTGAATGAGCCCCTAGTGATTAGTTATAAGATGGCTCGGATTTTGGGCTGGCCTTCTTCTGCCTGGTGTTGCTGGGGAGAAGCCATGAGGGGATTCAGCTGCTGCTGAACAGAGTGAGACATGGCTGATCACCGGATTGGTGACAATTTGGAAAATTAGCATCCAATAATAAAGTATACTGAGCTGTCACTAAGGTTTTCTAGGTTTCATTAACAACAGCAAATTGCGAACTTACTCGCCCGTCCGCTTCATGTTGCAGTTTATCCTCACTGAGAGTATTGTTGCCCACTTTGTGGGTAGACACTTGTTTTTCATTATTTTGATCAGGGAAGGCAACCTCAGCAATCCAGCTGTGGGGAAACTACAAATCCCATAATGCTTCTGCATCTGGGAGACATATCTGTAGCTAATACTCTTGCAATGCCTCATGGGACTTGTAAAAGGGTGACCATTCGTCGCCGATCTCCGGGGACAGTCCCCCAGCAACATAAAATCTTTTTTTTTATACCCACCGATGAGCGCAGCCTCATGTCTCCCACGCTGTCAGAAGCTGCATACAGTGTGTGCAGGTTTAAATAGTAACCGGCACACGCTGTATGCAGCTTCTGACAGCGTGGGAGACAGGAGGCTGCGCTCATCGGTGGATCCAGGGATTAGGTGAGTATTAAAAAAAAATTAATTTGTATGTTCCCGGGGACATTTCCAGGGACATACCACACATACCAAATACACTGCATATATAATTTGAGGAAAATATGCTAATAAAATTGTTTGTTTTACCATTTGTCAATTAAAAAAAAAATGTCCCCGGATTTCATTTTAAAAACCTGGTCACCTTAGCTTGTGTAGTTCTACCACAGCTTGATATATCATACCGGCTTGGAGGTGTATATTATGCCGGCTTGACACGGGTCACTTTGTGCGTGGGCAGTGTCACATGAGACATGAGATGGTCAAATCTATTTGATTTATGATGCTTGAGCTTTGGAGACTAATATTGTTAGTTATAGAATGTTAATAGTTATGATGTATACATTTATAAAAGTTCAAGTTACATGTAAACCCCAATGAAGGGCCAAGGCCAAAGCTTTACCATATTCATCATGTGTCTGTTGTTTTATTATTTGAAATATTATACAGTATTTATTTGTTGTTTATATTGTGTATTTGGGCTTAAGTGATAGTGAGTGTTTACCCATGCAGATGATCCCCTTTTTCCTGTCTGGTGAAACCTTGGTCACCAGGACAGGAAGTAGGGGAAATGTCTCTAATGGCCCTGAATAACAGCAAAAACTTGACAGGGGTTCTGATCTTTCCTTAATACAAAATACAAAGAATCCCCAGCTCACCTGCCAGCTGGCCTGCAACCAAACAAATTGCCCTGTCAACAGTATGCGTTAAAAGCAGAGGTTTTAGTTGCACAAACATTTGGCCAAAAATATGTAGAAGCCACACCGCCGCGCCAAGGCAGCTCTGCAAAGTGTGGTCCTACTCTATGTATACGAGTCTCCAAGTGTGAGCATATTAATGCAGTCGATAAATTGCATGCAGGTGTACCAGGAGGTAGCCTACTCCTCCTAATAAGGTGCAGGGACGCACTGGAGGCCCAGCAACCAAAAATGCACGCTGGGACACCAGTGCGTCCCCACATCCAAAAATAGTCAAACTAGAAAAAACATGGTACCTGCATGAATCTATGACTAGCCTTTATGGCAGGGCGCACATTGGGAAGGCTTACAACAATACAAAACACAAAGAATCCCCAGCTCACCTGCCAGCTAGTCTGCAACCAAACAAATTGCCCTATCAACAGTATGCGTTAAAATCAGAGGTTTTAGTTGCACAAACTTTTGGCCAAAAATATGTAGAAGCCACACCGCCACGCCAAGGCACCTCTGCAAGGTGTGGTCCTAATTCTATGTATACGAGTCTCCAAGTATGAGCATATTAATGCAGTCAATTAACTGCATGCAGGTGTACCAGGAGGTGCCTTGGCGCGGCGGTGTGGCTTCTACATATTTTTGGCCACACTAATTAGGATCACACTAATCCAGCACGTTATTAATCTTACGTGCCCCACTCAATGTGGCCGCCGCTTGAGTGGGGAAGCCCTAAAAATTATTAATAATTGCTATTGTCCTAAACTGATGATTGCATTGATGATCTTTATATAGATACATTTCCTGCAGAATTCTGAACTATAATATATCTATACATACATTTTGTATTATTCACAGATCTACCACTGCACAGCTTACTAAATACACCGCAGGCATGAAGCAGAGTAAAGTCAGGGTGTAATCTAAAATACATTTCTGTAATCTCTCAGTGCATTGCAACAGCATGTTTGACGTAGGATTTTTCCTGCTGACCTCGCTGACTGACAGCAATATGGGCAAGGCGAGGGCGACAACCTTTCCTTTAGTGCTGATTGGCTCCTTAAAAAAGGTAGTGGCAGCACCAACAAATCAGGACACGTTCTAACGCTCTCTGCTGGATTATGTTTAGCTTTCTTCATCTTTAATTAGACTTTTATGTTGCAATGCTTTTAAAGGACACAAGTCAAAAAGGTCAGTTCTGACAGGAAACAAAGAGATGAAATTCAGCAGACATATGGAAGGTTTTTCCTCCCATTCCTCTAGAGCAGTGGTCAGTGTAAAATTAATAAGGAGGGCATTTATGTGGCCCCTGATGTCACCAAAGGACTGCATACAATATGCATATTATAATATACACCAAAATGCCCAGCACTAATAATAAAAGTCAAGTATTAAATCTAAACATGTCCTTTTAAAGAAACGTTCATAGGTGTATTCGGTGAGCCACACAGTGCAAAACAGTCTCTCATCCAGAGTGCATATAAGGTACTTAAAAAAAAAAAACCCGCGGCAAAACACACTGCATTGCATGTTCAGAATCTCATGCAGATCTGGTCTGCATTTGGTGAAGAAGCCCTTAACAGGTGGGTTCAGCTTCAAGTTTGGGCTGTAGGACTCGCCAGTTTGGGGCTGCCCTAGGCAAGACGAAACTCAGGCCCCCCCCCCACCACACACACACACACACAAAGTTTTCCCCACCCCTTCCTATTTTTGACTTTTTGCTTAACCTGTCAATCGCTGTATCCAGCTTTTGACATGTTCCGCTATTGGTATAGCAGGAAAGCTGGGGTCTCAGGTGGGCTCCACAGGATCTGTGGTGGGCTCTGCGGGGTCTATGTTGGGCTGTGTAGAATCTATGCTGGGCTCTGTAGGGTCCCTTTACCAGCAATGTGATCCACTTACCTGCATCTGATGTCTCAAGCTGACCGCTGCTGGACCTGGCCTCCATCACTGCCAGACCACTGGTGCTGCGGGCACCAGTGGTCCGGCCTCCTGACTGGCATTTCCGACTGGACTCCCATCGGACACCCGACAGGCACTTCCGGTCCCGGCCTCCTCTGCGCCCGACATCTGCATCGGGACACGGCTTCCTCCGCCGCCTAACCGGAGCTGCGGGGATCCATACCCGCCCCCTTCTCCTGCTGCTGCTCCTCCTCGCCTCTGCCTCCACCTCCTCCTCGTCCAGGCAGCCAAGGCTGCCGAGTTCTGAGCAGTCTGGCTTGCCTGACTGAAAAGTGCTGCCCAAGGCAAATGCCTTGTTTGCCTCGTGGCAGATACGCCCCTGGGACTCGCACAAGAACAACAATCACTATCACCCTTCTACGTGGAGTATTTTGCATTGGAAATTAAGGCTCCTTTCACCACTTTCAAATATACTACTCCATTTAATATTTTATTGCGCCTTTTTGTCTTATCTGTAATAAAGTGTGTGTAAAGACAATGTTTTGTTTAGTTTTGAATAGTGTGGTGAAGGCTTAGACCCTTTGTCAAGTTTGGTTTGCTGTATGTGTCTAAATTTAAGATTTGACCTGGTGAGGGGAAACCCAAAAATTTAGAGTTACCATTAGAGCAGTAGGCGAGGGAAAATCCTCCAATGGTGACACCTGTTCCTGTGATAACTCTCTAAGCCTACATTCACACCTGCACATTCCGCGTTTGGCACGCGTTGATGGAAACACACCAAAATGTGCAACGCGCTTGCGTTGCCATTATTTCTAATGGCACCCCAAACGCGGTCAGGAAGATGTGCTTTTTTGCTCCGTGTTTGTGAATGCTCCCAGTGGTGAAACACCATAACACTTTCTTAACATTGTGCAAAAGTGTATGCACATTACTGTCAAAAAAGATCTTCAAAAAGTCATGAAGAAACAATTCCAGACTTTTCAATCTGGCCAGATTATAGTAAAGCTGGCCATACATTATGCAAATTTGCACATTGGTTGCCGCTGTCAGCAACCTTTCAGCTGGCATCCCTCGATCAGCTCATTGAAGGAGCTGGTCGGAAAGTCTTTGAACAAACAGAACCGGCAGCCAATAGCCGCCACTGTCAGAATACAAAAGAAACAGCGGGTATTCCTTGATTAATGCGCTTGCAGCGTTGATGGGGGAATCTGTCCTATTTTTTTTTTTCAGCCTGGGGGTTGAGCAAAAAAATATAACAGTATATGGCCAGCCTAAACCATAAAGGTATTAATTAGCAGGCAGCAATACAATGCAGTCACCTGGGGTTACCTGCACTCCTTTAGAATACTCCTCCATCATTTCAGGGGACCCCTAATTCCTGGGTGCTATAGTGTACTATCTTTTCTGCTCCTGGCGAGTTCCTCTTGGCCCATTACTATTATGGACAGTCCTAATGGCTAATAGAAATGAGAATGTAGGAGAGCTTTAGACACTGTCCTGAGTAGTTCTTTCAGACACATCTGTCTCACATTGAAACCTTACACTGATTTCTCATGGAGTTCTGTAAAAACATTTCACCTTGATCTGTCCACCTCTGTAAATAACAGGCTTTTCTTCCTTGTCAATTGATGGACACAGGAAGTCTTTAACCTTTGGGTTATACTGCCGCCTGCAGAACGATTGGACAGTGGCAAAAAAACCCCCAAAAAAATGACTAGCCCAGGAAAACTTTTCTTTTTAAAGTCTTTGGCTACGATAGTTTCCAAAAAGTGTAGTTGTCTTTTCTGCAGCTATGCAAAATATGCTAGCACCTTTTATCTTTAATTTTATTGTTAAATCAAGACACTTCTTTATGTTGCTGCTGGAGATTTGTTTCTTTGATTGCAGCTCTCCAACAAGGTCATTCTCCGCCTAGATTTTGGAGCATAGCGTCCAGACCCCGCTTGGTTGGACGTTGCAGGGATAGCCTAGAAGTGACTTTTGGGCACACGGTGTCGCATGGGGCACTTTACACACTGCGTTCAAGTACACATCAGGTACGCTTTGCAGGTCCAGAGACACCAGCATTGCCTCAGCACTTGCCCTGTCTCTGAAGACTCACTTTGTGCGTAGACTGATCAGGTTAAGCAACAAGAGTCACATCAGCTACTTAAGTAGCTGGGTGACTTTGCTCCCCATTCCTTCTAGTTTTGCCATGGAAAGGGTTAACACAGTAGGACTGAAGGCTTTCCACCATTCAGTATCAGGGAAGTGTCTCCCTGCTGCTGTTTCTGTGTGCAAGGAGCCACCTTGAACTTTGATCTTCAGTTTGTTCCTCCTGTTTGCCTGACTTTGCCTATGCATCACACTACAACCATGTGGTCGCAACATGTGTTGACTTATGAGCTCATCCCTGAGGAGTCGCACTTTTCTACTATTATACCCAAATTAAAGAAGATTATTTCAGCTCCTAATGGTCACCACATACGGTACAATCCTAATGAAGAAGCTCCTTTAGATTAACCAAACTATGTAATATGAGGCCCTTCCTAAACTATCCAATCAATTTAAATCCAATCAGGCAGATACAAGCACTACACAGTTGTTGGTAACTCTAAGGGCCATTCACACCACCTCCAGACCAGATTTTATCTGGACCTAAAATTCATCCCAATGTTTCCCCATGTTCTTCTTGGCCTCAGTTCACACTATCGTAGTCAGTTCCAGGCCAGACCAGAAAAATACTGCGTGTCACATTTTGTCTGCTCTGGAACGCACTGGAACGTGTCACAAATGCAGCGGAATACAACGCAATGGCAAAGAAAAACGTTTTTGGGGCTGGTTTGGATGAACTCATCACCCCTGGACGTCCTGCTTCTGTGGAGAGAGAGTTTTGTGAAGATAGGAAACATGATGGCTGAAGTGGACACCAAATTATTTGTAGAACTTGTGGAAGCCTGCCCAGAGCTGTATGATCCGAGACATGGGCAATATAAGAACAATAATAGGAAGATGGACAAGTGGAGAGGCATTGTTGCCCAGGTTGTCCCAGGCTATGATCATTGAGCAGCTCTGAAACGAACAACTGTGGTAAGTTAATGTCTCTTATGTGCAAGCATTGTGCTGCTTTTTTCCTGGCTATCTGTAGGTTTTGCAGAGGTCCCCCAGCAAGACCTAAAATTGAACGCGTCAAAAACATGGCAAAACGCAACGCAGTGCGTTCCAGATCTGGTCCAGAAAATAGTGTGAACCTGCCCTCAGGGAGCCCTGTCACATCATTTCCAGTGCGTTATGGCGAAGTTCGAGCCCGAAACGCACTGTATCGCATACATCAAGCTGGGGTATGTTCTGCGGCGAGGTGGTGCCATTCATGTCAATGGCACCACAAAAACGCCCCCTGCCCGCAATGCGATCACCGGCACCGGAACGCCAGGTACAAGACTGCCCTCCGTTCCAGTGCAGGGCAATCTAAAAAAAATAGTGCACGCAGCATTTTCTCCGATCGCACTGCACCAGAACGTAGGGCATTCCTGTACCTCATGTTCCGGTGCGGGCGGGGGGCATGTCATTGACATGAATGGCACAACCCATGCCCCGGAATGTGGCTCGGCTTGATGTAGGCGATCCAGTGCCTTCCGAGCTCAAACCGTGCAGGAACGCACTGGATATAGTGTGACAGGGCACTGTCACACTATATCCAGCACCTTTTCCAACTATTTATCTATGGAAATTGGAAGCATCCTGTTAAGCTGTTTATACCCCGTAGCGCTTATTTAAGGTGCCCATACACCTTACAACCATCACATGACCTCCGTTGTGCGATGGTTGTAAGGTAATTAAAATCTCGTATGATCTGCCCATCTTGGACAGGCAGATCATACTTGCGATCATCGCAAGCCAGCCCTGCTAAGGGGAGAGCTTCCGATGATTCCAATGCTGAGCGGGCAGTGTGCACTTTCGGGCAGTGTGCGCTTGCGCACACCGGCCCGGTCGGCATTTGTCTTCCGAGCACGCCACTAACCCGCCAAAAATCGTACGATGTTCAGCGGGTTTTCGAGTGTGCTCGGAAGACAAAAGACGTGCGACCGTACAGTAGAAACGGTTGCACGCCTTCCATACACCTGCCGATTATTGACCATGGCGGGATCACCCGCGATTATCGTACGATAATCGGCAGGTGTATGGGCACCTATAGACCTATAGACTGGTATCTGTTTGGTAAGGATTTTGTGCAGAAATGGTCTATTCCCACTGTGGAACAGTAGAAGTCCCATCTGTAAGGGACCCAACCTTATATGCAGTTGGAAGCCCTGTCCTGTCCAGACAGGACAGCACTTCCTGTGTGGCGGAGCCATTATCAGCAGGATTGAAAGTGAGGGTAAATCTTTTTAACAGAGCCCCAGATAGCAGTAAAGACCTGAGAGAAGCTTAATTCCTCCCAACTCCTGTCACAACTCTTTTGGCATGCCATTCACTTTGAGAAAGAAAGTTAAAAAAAAAAAAAATATATATATATATATATATGCACATGTCATTTCCGTTAAAGATTCTGTAGCATGATAAGTTAACAGGTGACAACCAGCATAAAAAAAGCAGTGTGTATCAGTTCTCATACCTCATACAAGTGGTTAAACCTGCCAGGGTCTGAAAAGTCTGATATGCCAAAGTAAACAGAACCTGATTAGATAAGGTTCAGTCTGCTATTTTTAAAAGAAACTGGATGGCCCTGTCTTAGGGCAATTGCACATCTTTGTATTTTCATGGAGTGCATTAGAAAAAAAAAGTCCTGCTTGCTCCATATGTTGTGCACTTTGCAGCAAAATTCACCCTCCATAGGGATAAAAGGTAATGCATGTAAAGCATGTGTACGGAGAAATAGCTTTTAGCCAATAATTAATTACCCTTTGAGGCCATTGCCACAAGCAGCACATTCACATGATAATGTACAGTGTGCTAAATAAATACTAGACATGTGCAGCCACAAAACATTCATTTCGTTTAGCTTCGGATTTCGTTTATTTCGGATTTCCAAAATCGGGTCCTGTATGTGTTTCGTTTTGGGTTTTGGATTCGGATCGGATTTGGAATTCGGATTCGGAATTCGGACGAATTTCCGAAATTTGGGGTTTTGCGCGAACGGACAATGTTCATACGCACGTACGTAGCAGAATTGACACAGTTGACATTTCTGGTTGCTGAGCTCTAGCTCTCTTCACTATTAAAGGGACATTAAAATCCTTTTCTTAATTTTTTGTATCCGTTTAAATGTTGGCAGTGCATGCACAGGAACATGAAGTAATGTTATGTTTTTATCTTCACATGCTATGAAATTCTCTTTTTGAAGTAATTATCGTAAATTTCTAATTTAGTTTCTGTTAGGACGAAATTCGTACTGAATCCGAAGTTCCGAATCGGAACTGAATTTCTTGCTGAATTTCCTGTGGAGAAAATTTAGAATTTTTAGGCTTCAGGCCTAATAAAACTTTAATTAAAAAAATAAAAAAAAGCCGGCAATGTGAGTCATGAAAATGTGCACATGTATACATAATCACTGCACCTCTTCATTACCACAATAAATGCTAATCACTTACAAAGGTGGAAATGGACTTTAACCACTTGCTGACCAGGGCCGGATTCCCGGCAAGGCCACCGAGGCCCGGCCTCGGGGCGGCACGGAGAAGAGGGGCGAGACATGTTTGAAGTCACCCGACGCCCGGAACTCCGGGCGGTAATTTGTTTTCTACATTTAGCGATGCTTTGCACAAGCAGGGCTAAATGAAGAATGGTGGAAGTCGCCAAGATCACTTGTAATAACACTGCACGCTGTCCGTCCCCCCTCGCCGCCGCCCCCGCACCTACCTCTCTCCATGCTGTGTCCTCCCGGCTCCGTCTCCTGGCTCCGTCCTCTCCTCGCTGGCCGCTGACGTCCTCAGGATGGAGAGCGGTGAGCAGAGCGGCAGGGTTAAAACTAACCCTGCCGCTCTGTGTACACAGTGAGAGGGGAGAGCTGTGCTCTTCCTCTCTCACTTGTCACAGGAGTTCCAGCACAGTGCTGTGCTAGAACTCCTGTATTGGAGGTGACAGGTTCAATAAAGAGAATGGCCTTGGGACGGCAGGCAGGGTAAATCCAGTCCTGTTGCTGGCCGGGTATTTGCACGGTCATACAAGCCATCTTAGAGCCTGCCAAACACCTGTATATAACAGCCCTTAACGGCTGTTTACATTGCCGACTGGGGCCTGTTCGCACGCACCCGGAAGGGGGCGTGCACAACCAGGAAGTAAATGTACATCCACTCGCCAGGAAGCGTCCTGATATTTTTTGTACTGTGTAAAGTATTAGTGTAGGATCAAGCATGAGGATGCTTGGGATTGGTGGCGAGCTTTTATATACTAGTCAAAATACAATCATAATTGTATGAATTCCTAAATCTACATGGTTCAAACAGACCTCAGTGGACAAATTTAGTCACATCAAAGAGTGATGAATCGGCCATTCGCGTTCCATCGCTGCCTGCAAGTTGGAAATATGAAATAATCATATGCAAAATATCATATTTACACAAATTATAGGCTTAGTTTACCTTTAAATATCTAAAAAATAAAAAATTAATGTATATGTTAAAAAAATTATTAAAGGAGAACTAATCATTAAAAGTTAACCTTTTTTGGCTATGGTTCTTTTTACGTTTGCAGGAGGATATGCTGACAGCCTGAGCCACGCTTTAGCCAGGAAAGATCCAGATAATAGGTCAGAATCCATCCCTCTGCCTGATTGACAGCTGGCTCTGCCTCTCTAGATCCAGAGCCAGCTGTGCCCGCCCCCTCTCCCCATCCATTCCTCCCTGCAGTCAGCACTCGAGGAATAGAGAGGGCAATCCCTGTGGCGGGTAGTGACTGACAGTCACCACTCTCCGCAGGGAGAAGATCAGGAAGTGAGCGAACGGCGGTATGTGATCCATAAGTTCCCGTTTTATAGAACCAAGGTGTAACAGCTTCAGTGTCACATATCGGCTCTAATTATGGAGATAAATATCAGCCTGTAAAACCCAATCATTACCAGTTCTTCAGGTTTTAGTGCTGTGATAGTTTGACTGACAATTACTCCGTTATCCAACACTGCACCTAGACAAAAAAAAACACAATCAGGGCCGGACTGGCCATAGGGCAAACCGGGCACTTGCCCGGTGGGCCGGCCCGAACATCATCAGCTTGTTTCTGTTTGGTCCGGCCAGCTGTGCCCGACGGCCGCTCTGAACGCTCCATTGATCACAGAGCACAGAGCTGCCAGGCAGATCACACACTGATGGAGCCGGCCCCGCCCCCACCAGCTGACAGACCCCGGAGGCCTGTGCAGGACAGACGTTGTGCTCGTAGGAACACAGAACACAGCATCCAGGAGAAAGTAAGTTGACGGGGGGAGGAGGAATCATCACCACTGAGTGACCGGAGGTCCACCACCTCATCTCATGCTAGACACATGGGGGGCCAGGAGCCAGATTGAGGGAGGGTCAGGAGCCAGATTGAGAAGGGGGCCAGGAGCCAGATTGAGAAGGGGGCCAGGAGCCAGATTGAGAGGGAGCCAGATTGAGGGAGGGCCAGGAGCCAGATTGAGAAGGGGACAGGAGCCAGATTGAGAAGCTTTCAGGAGCCAGATTGAGAAGGGGTAAGGAGCCAGATTGAGAAGGGGGCCAGGAACCAAATTGAGAAGGGGTCAGGAGCCAGATTGAGAAGGGGGACAGGAGAGGGAGGACAGGAGCCAGACTGAGGGGGAGATAATCAAAAGAAACACATCGCACACCTGACCAGATAAGACCCTCGAGTATCAAGTGGGTGCCAAGCAACCACGAATGCCTCCGCCTCAGTATAAAGGTGAAGAAGTCACAACATGGCTGTGCATGTCATTGACATGTTGTGACACCACAGGGGTCAATAAAATATTGACTGAACTTGAGCTGGAGTGTGAGTGACTTCTTCATACTTAGACTCAAGGGAGACACATAGACCAGACTGGGGGAGACACATGGGGCCACCATCAGGGGGTATAGCCAATACCCATGTCAGGGACCCAGGCAGATTGAGGGGCTCAGGCCCCTACCAGGGTCGGCATGGCAGAGGTGACAGGGGGCAAGGTGGAGGTGTAAGAGGCCAAAAAGTCAAACTGAAAGGAAACGACCCAGACTATGAGATGGCAGGGTGTGAGGAGGAAGTGTTGGTGCTGATCCAGTTTTGCCCACAGGCTCTGCATGGGGTACATGTCCCCGGGGCTGGTACATGGCATGGCTGAGGGTGCTAGGAGGCTGGTGTACTGCTCCTTGTACGACTGATTATGAGTACAGCAGCCTAGTTGCCACCGCTCTCTCCTTTTTCACTTCCACTCTTGGAAACCCATTGCTTTTTATTAGGTTTGCTAGGTTAGATATCATCTGAACAGTCCACCTATTGAAATTTCAGGACAGACTGTGTCAGTCAAAGACAACTAGCCAACTTTGCAGGTCTGTAGGCAGTAATGTCATTGCAGAAATGCGTAATATTAATATATATGGGTGATAATATTATATGGGATATTTAGTAGCAAGGGAATTTCACTGAACACCTGAATCCAATGATTTGGAGGGGTTTCCCAATACTTTTGGCAATATAGTGTGTGTGTGTATATATATTATGTGTTGTAATTATGTGGCCCGGCCCCGTCCCTCAATTGCGCTTCTATGTTTGACTCCACCTCCAGATTGCGATAGGGCGGGGCCTGTCGGCGGTCATGTGATTGGGCTGTTCAGTCTATAATGCCCGGGCCTATTTTTTGTTCCAGTCCGGCCCTGCCCACAATTAATTATAACCCCTCACCATGAATCATCTGCTGCTGCTGATTCCTTCATTTAGAAATGTTCATTCATAATATACTACTTCCTCTCTTGATATAAACAGTGCAACTATTTACATTTGTAATCGCTGTGATTGGTCATCACAACGATCACAAGGTGTAGAGGCTCTGTACACTGTGTCTATCTTCGATCTGAGCTGTCCAATGAAGGCTCAGAGCACAGCCATTTACCGGCACAGTGGCCACCTACTTTTGTAAAGAGCACTGGAGAAATTAACATCCACCACTCCGCTGTTCCTAAACACAAAGTGGTAATGAAGAGGTTAAATTATATTTTTTTTTTTAATTAGATATAAACATATCAAAAAACATAAATTTTATTTTGATTAAAGTATATGTAAACCCTAATGATAAACTTATTTTATTTACTTATTTTCTGGTCTCCTAAACATACAATTGAAAGTTTTTAGTTATAACTGTTCAATATGTGCAAACAAATACCCATCCATCTTGTCAGAAATTCAGAGCTGTCCTGTGCCCAATGCTCACTTCCTGTGGAATTTCAAGGAAGGTAATTAGCCCTCCCAGTTCTTATCTTGGGACTACAGAATGATTAGTATTTGTGTTGTGGAGTTTAGAGAGTAGCTGGGTCTAAGCAGTTCAGCAAGAGAAGACTGTGCAGGGCTGACACCACAGTCCATAAAATGTTGTGCGTCCTCAGCCCACAACACCACAGTCCATAAAATGTTGTGCGTCCTCAGCCCAATTTCTTGCAGATCATCAGGTATTTTTCTGTAATTGCAGGGTCTTTAAAGGGATAACATAAGGGAAAATATTTATGCATTGCAGTGATGCACTACAAGTGTTTGTTTATTATTTTGCCCCGACACACGGTTTAACATTTATTTTGTCAATAAAAAAACAGGTTTGCATGGCAGGTGGCCAGTGGCCACCACAAAGAATTTGCTCCTTCAGGCTACAGGCTGACATGGTACTCCACACCAGCCTTACAACTGGAGTTTGTTGATAAACACAGCCAACCATTGTTTTCTGAACCAGTAACAAGAAGAAAGACTAAGGCTGGGTTCACACCTAGGCGTATTACGCATGCACGTCTGTCGCGCGACCGTCACGCGTTTTTTTTACCGCAATTCGCGGTAAAAAAATCGTGCGACCGTCGCGCGATTCCGAAGGCTACTTGGCTGTATCCCAATGGAAAACGCCCTCCAAAACGGCCCAAAGAAGTACATGTACTTGTTTGGGCGTCAGCCGTTTTGTAGGGCGTTCAGACGGGCAGAAATACGGAAAGGTGTGAACCATACCCATAGAAAACAATGGGATTTTCATGGTTGTACGTTTTGTAGAGCGTTCATAGAGCGTTGAACGCCCGACAAAACGGAAAGGTGTGAACGGGGCCTAATTGTTAACTGTCAATGGTTTGGAGGAGCTGATCTGTGGCTGATTTGTGCCTGCTGTTGATTATTTAGTGAATACTTAGTACTATTTCTATGTACTAAGTGTATAGTTGGCCATAGACATGAGAGGGATGTAGTGAGGAAAAAAGACTCATCCGTTCAAGTCACTGTAATTTATGATGCACTAAAGACTGGAAGGACCCATTAACATGTATACACAGAAAGCACATTACAGCTCTTGCCCATATTCAGAATCAGGGCTGTTCACACCTCAGTGCTGATGCTTCAGTGTTTTCCCCACCTGCAGGAGTTTAAGTGTCCATTCACACGAGTGTAGCGCCTGAACGCTCTCTTAAGATCGCCATACACTTTACAACCCCCGCAAGACTTTTGTCTTGCGAGGGTTGTAAAGTCATTTAAGAAACGTACGATCTGCCCATCTTGGACAGGCAGATCATACTTGCGATCATCGCAAGCCCGCCCCCCTGAGGGGCGGGCTTCCGATGACTGCAATGAGGGGCGGGTTTCCGATGACTGCAAATGGGCAGTGTGAGTGTGAGGAGCAAAAACGCACATCTTGCTGGCTGCGTTTGGGGTGCCATTAGAAATAAATGGCACTGCAAGCATGTTTTACACTTTGAGCCGCGTTCACACAACGCGCAGGTGTGAATGGGGCCCAGAGGGCAAAGAAGCGCAGAATCTGCCAAACAGAAGCTCATGTTCTTTCTTCAAGCGTTGGGCGTTTTGCGTCAAGCGACAAAATGCTCAGATGTGAACATGGCCATAGAAATGAATAGGGTTTTTTGGGGGGCATTTTTAAACATTTTTTCAGGCAGAAAAAGCGCTACAAAACGCTTAGTGTGAATGAGGGCTAAAGGTTTTAGATCTTTTGAAGTGTATACTAAGTAAAGTGCTTTATATCATTATCAGTCTCCAAACTGGTAAATTTGCCTTGTGAGACATGAAAAGGAAAGTCTAACCATTGTTCAGCCGTACCGGTAAGAAGCAGATGCTGCATATTTACTGAGCAAATATCATTTCCAACCTTGCAGACATAATTATCTATAGTACATAGTAACAAGGATTTGGTATTATTGACATTGCTAAGCTGAATCACTTTCACATGTATTTCTACAAACAATAGATATTGCCCTCTCATTTAAAGTGGAACTCCAGTCTGATCTTTTTTGGACACTTGCATTGATCCGGCTCAATGTTATGATGGGTATACAAACTTAAAATTTCTTGGGAACATTGGTATGAAAAATCTCCTCAGAACATTCAATAATGCCATCATAGACTTGTGGAATGTCATTTGAAATTCCTTTGGTTTTAACATTCAATTTTGGAATTAAAGGAGAACTATGGTCAGTGTTTTTCCCCATAGTTCTCCTTGGGGTAACGGGAGGACACAAACTAGCGTCCTCCCGTTACCCTAAGCTCAGTATACCGCGAGCTACAGCTCGCGGTATACTGAGACGCCGCACCTGGAGCGGATCCCGACTTAGATGACGGGATCCGCCCAGCTGCGTGAGTGACAGCTGGCTCTGCCTATCTAGAGGCAGAGCCAGCTGTACCCGCCCCCTCCCCCGTCCGTTCCGCCAGTCAGCGCTGGCAGATCGGAGCGGGGAGAGGGGAATCCAGCCCCTCCCCCTGTCACGGCAGAGAGCCGTGACAGGATCGAGAGGTGAGGGAACCGGTATGTGTTCTCTCACCTCCCGATCTACTGAGCCGACCTGTGACAGTTTAATTGTCACAGGTCGGCTTAGAACTATGAGGTGAGTGGAAATCACTCACGTCATAGTTCTCCTTTAATGTAGTTTCCCTAATGAAAACCACATTCACTGTTAGAAGTTTGTTCATTCAAGAAAAACTTTCAATATTGCTCCTTTTGAGGGTTTTTTGGCACTATGGTTGAAAAGCATTGTTGGTTTGACACCATTAAGTATTAGAAAACTGAACGAACTTTCCAAAAATAACAGTTTTCAAATGAAACTCTAACCGTGTATACCCGATCGTATCTGATATCCAGTGAGCCACTGGGGATGCTGAAATTCACTGTAGTAGTCCACGCTACATACATTGATAGCCCTGATCTGTAGTGGCTTACTCTCTGCACACTCAACACAGGGAGTCGATCACTTGGCACCCTCGTCATTCAGGGAGTATTTTTTTAAATGAAGATACGGTGTTCCCTGATTGGACAAGGTGAAGAGGAGGAGAGAATGACATCACAATTTCCACTTCATCCAATCACAAAATGCCTTGTATTTATAAAAAAAAAAAATAGAAGGCATTCTCTAAATGGCGCCATTGCCAAATAAGAAAATCCCTGTGCTCAGTGTGCAAAGGGGAAGCCGCTGGGGCTGCAGCCGGAAGATTACAGCTATCACTGTATGTATCACAGACTACTACAGTCATTTCCAGCATCCCCAGTAGACCTCCAGATATCATAAATGAATACTTACATTGAACCAAGCTGGATGAATGTAAGTTGTCATGAAAGATCATTCCTGGTGTTCCTCTTTAAAGTAGATTTAAACTAAAAAAATATATAAACATTTAGTGTGCTAAAGCACTGTGTATGATATCCAACTGACCTTTTTTTACATATATAATAATGTTTTCAGCCACTTCATGTCTACATGCACACTCTCCAGCGTTGGCTGCTCATCATTGCTCTGGATTGGCTTCCCAATGGTGACAACAGTGGATCATACATGAGCAATGTGTGTTGGCATGACCAGTTGTAGTCTCCTTTTAGGGAACAGAGTGACAAAGCACAATTCAGAGACAGATGTCACCCTACAATAAGAAATGACCAAACAAGAACCTTCATGACAGAATCTCTGGGTATCATCTAATGATAGATGCAATTTTAATTTACAAATGTACCATTTGTACAGCTGGCCTTTAAATATGTCCCTCCAGCCCCCTGAGCACTGCTGACCCATTAAACACTTACCTTGGCTCCTGTTTCAGTAGTCTCCACTGTGCTGCTCCACATGGGGCTGACAAGACTTCCCCCCAAATTGTTCCCTTTTTCCAGTGCATGCAGGCTTCAGTCCTATTCATTCTTATGGGGAGAGCCGTACATGAGTTTGGCTCCCCATAGGACTTAAATGAGCCGTGGCATGCATGCTCAGGAAGAAGAGGACCTAGCGGGAACAATTTTTGCAGATAGTCTGTGCGTCTCCAGCGGAAGCTGCTGGAATGGGGGACAAGGTAAGCATTAGATGTTGTCAGCAGCACTCAGAAAGGTGGGGCAAAGTATTTAAATGACAACTGTACCAATGATATACAAATGTTGAAGTCACATTTAGGGCCCATTCACATTAAGTCAGTCTGTTTCAGTATGTGTTTTATACAACCATTTGAATATGTTGCCAATGCACCACAACAAACCCATTCATGTGCCCATAATGGCCCATTCAGACCTGTCTTTTCTGGTGTGTTGGGTTAACACATGTGCATTAATGTGCATTATTTTGTGTCTTTTATTAAGGCAGCCCAGAAAGTGAATGGGCCACCAACACACCAGAAAGGACAAAAATTGTACATGCACCATTTTTCCTGATGCATCCACTACAATGCATGGTAATACCATTGCTTGTGTTTATGTGTTGAGGTCCCATTGACAGACAATGAATGGCAAAGCAATGTACGTTAATGTATGTGTTCCTGCAATGCAATTCATTGGAGAGATCTGAATGGGCCTGAAATGTAAAAAGCAACATTTTTGGTAAAGCAGAGCACTGTAATACATTACCGTATGTTGTGGGGTGAGGCAAAGTAGGGGAATAATGTCCAGATATAGGGGTGCAGGGCACTTCAATTACGGTGGGCTCATCCTACACAGGATTTAAAATACATAGCAAATCACCAAACTCACCCATCAAAGTCTGTTTATTGCATGTCATTGGACCTGACAAGTTATACATACAAATAAATGAGCTCTAGATCTGATGTGAATACATGGTAGCAAAACTCCAAGTAGATGTTTAGGTCAGACAAATTACAAAGATCATAGCTATGCTGCCATGTACTCTTTAGCTTCCAGAGATAATGGCTGGCCGAACAATTTACATAACAAAATTATAGCTGAACGCTGGAATAAATGAATATTGTCTTACTATGAGAATCATGTTTAGTCTTCCATGACTCTTGGTGAGTTTTGTGTATTCCTTCCAGATGTGTGCAGTGTAAAATGTTACCTCTGGGAAGGGGCTTCCTGTTATAAAAACTGGTCGCTGCTGCTCTCTCTCCTTGTGCAGGGTGGCCGGTCTTGTCTCCGCCCCCTCCTGTAGTTTTCTGCTGGCAGCCTGTATTGGGTGGCACCTAATCGGTAACTCTCACAGCTCTGCTCCCTGCAAAGGCCATGTACAGCACAGTGATGATGTCACTACTACATTTACAAGGTAATATCCAGGTTTACGAAGGGATTCGGTGCACACAAAGTGGCTATTTAGAAATATATTTAAATAATAATTTTTGTGTCCGGAGTTCACCTTTAAATTGAATCTGTCAATGTAAAGACTGAAGCTTATCTAAATGAAGTACAGTCAATTTTAGCAACTTCCTGCCATATACTGGCACACAGGGGCGGACTGACCAGCTCGCAGCCACCAGCTGCCAAATCCTGTCCACACACACAGGCAGAGAGCCAAGACCCCAAGGAGGAGGAAGGTAGGGGGGGCAGGAGTGTGTGTGTATGTGTGAGTTTGAGTGTGAGTTTGAGTGTGTGTGTGAGTGTTAATTTGTAAATTAATATATAAAATAATAACTGCTGGGCTAATCATTGACATTTTTTTTTAAACAAATAAATTGGTTTAGTAGTACCGTGTTTCCCCGAAAATAAGACAGTGTCTTATTTATTTATTTTTTCACGAAAAAAGACACTGGGTCTTATTTTCGGGGGATGTCTTACCTGGCTGCAGCTGTTCGCTCTGCCATCCAGGGAGCCACATACAGGTGGGCGGGCATGCGTGCGGGCGGG